ACCCAGAACACATCCATAATCACAAGTATAAGTGTATTTTTAGGAAAGAGATTTCTTCCTCCCAACGAGATTCTTCCCCCCAAGAATTGCTTTGTTAACATCAGCCAAACAGATTCCTTAGCTTTAAAGTGTATAGCATGCAAAAGACTTGCATGCAGCTTTCAGTGTAAAATATATATAACGTCTCTCTAAGCAGATCGTTCATCCAGGACCTAACTGTACACAAGACATGTGAAACAGTTGAACTACCGATGAAAGCCACGTTCGGTTGAGGGGTAGGGACCCTACAGTTCTCCCAAAGAGAAGTTGGACAATAAATACTGGGCATATCATACATCACAAACTGACTGACTCCACCAACAGTAGGGTTTTCGGTGTGAAAGCGAGACCTCTAGAGGTGGTTTTTGTCGATTATGTTCGACCGTGTCGCCTCGTCATGCCCTTTTAGCACGAGTTCAATAGAGATCTTGGCGTTCTCTTTCAACTCCCTTATGGGAAAGTGGGTAGACAACATGTTTAACCTCGACTGTCGGAAAGGCAAATTTGTCATAACAGCTAACACAGTAGTTGAACACGCATCTGAATCACTGCAGACCAAAGAAACCAGGCTATGTTTCATATCAGGTCATTAATAACTGTAAAACTCAACATTCGCATAAAGAAATGTTTCTAATAACGTGTTTATTATACTAGATAGATTTCTCGGAGATAAACATTACCGAACGTTTAATATGGTGTTAAAAAAATGCTCGATATTTATATTGTTTTCTATTTTAAAAATCATATTATTGTCCATACTTCAGAAACTTAGTCAAATAATCAAAAGTGTTTGGAATAATGAAAGAATCAAACGTTTTTGGAGCATACACATTTTTTTACTCTAAAAAATTAAATCAGTATTTTTATCAGTTTTTTTTTTTCAAGGAAATGAAAGTTCTATTAATTCATATGGAATAGTTTGATGTTGCTTCCCAAACGGAGAACCATATTTCAGTTGCACATTTCCTCTAAAGTTCCATACTTCCTCTCTCCGGAAGACAAGGAAGCATGTGAGCACGAGCGAAAGTAGGGTCGACTATACGACGTTTCGAGTTTCGCTTATTCAACAAATGTTCACAAATCAACCTTGTTTCAAGGAAGGTTTTTACAATCAATTGACTGTTCTTTTGTGGTCTATGTATATTCATTATTATCTAAGAAGGGGTTCCCAACCAGGGGTGCGAAATGAGGGTCCAGGGAATGCGCGGAAGAGGCCTATATAAGGTCCGTTTTTCCTCAAATGTCACCAAGAGGAAATGTCTAATGCACATTTTTTAGGAGAGGCGTGCGAAGTCTTCCTTAGGGGGTGGGAGGGCCACAAAAGGCTGAAAACCACTGATCTAAAGGTTAACGCTATCCTCATAGATACTACATATGTAATTATAACTAATTCTGTTAAATATTTGTTGCTGTTTTTTTAGAATTTTCGCGCAAACTTACACAAAGGAATCTATGCGCATACCCGTCCCTAATTTTGAACTGAAAGACCAGAAGGAAGACATCTGCCCAACAATATCCACTGCCAACTCTTAGATTCCTGGCCGAATAAACTGATTTAGCCGTCCTTCGTATATCGCACACACACACACATCCAAAGTGCGGAGTGCATTTTGGGGGCAGAGAGCCGCAAAGCATGACTCCTCAGATTCACAGTCCGGGTACATTAACCACTTGGTCAAGCCTGGTCCTACTATTTAATCACTCAGCAATATGTGCTAAGCTTATTTAGTGAAACAAGCTTTGATTCTTCAGAGGTGTAAACTTTAGAAAAAAATCAACGTAAATTGAAAACGTTTAATATACTAACCAGACTTTTGAAGGTAGTTTCACTTTTGGTGAAAATGTTTTTATCACACTATATTCCACAAATACACGGTGTGAATGATAACATAAAATTATACGTAGATGTTAAATTTGTTTGACTTAATAATCTACAAGACACATCTCTAAGAAATTGATCAGCTGTTTTCCGTTATATCCTTAACAAACGTAAAGGATTTTTGTGAACGAATGAAGCACTTTTCATTTATTTACCCTACCGCTTTTCAAACCCTAGGGGTTTCGTTCTCTTCTCTGTTTTGAAATCAACGATAATTCTGAGTTGTTTATATCTAGGGCTGCGAAGCAGAGCGTTTATCCTAATACTTAGAACAATGTATATTTCTTAATATATAATAATGCATGCCGGAGTACTTGTCCCATGGACAGAAATTATGTAAATTCAAGAGTAATGAAAAGTTATCTCAGAACATGAAAAGTTGCTTCCCTTTTAAGTAATTGTAAAAAAAAAACACACGCAAAAACGCTCAGTAGAAATTACAAAACACAAACTGTGAAACTGCTACCTTGCCTGTATCTCTGCATGGACTCAACAAAACTTCATGCCAAATTTGGTGAAGATCCATCAACAGGGGACGAAGTAGTGGTAAAAAACGCCCATAAAAACAGCAAATCGCAAAATACAAAACTGAAAATTTGTATGTATCTCCCCATGGACCCATTAAACCTCCATACCAAATTTGGTGAAGGTCTATCCACAGGGGGCGAAGTAGTGGTAAAAAAAACGCAAAAACGTCCATAAAAACCGCAAAACGCAAAACTAAATCTGAAAATTTGTATGTATCCTCGCACTGATCTAACGAACCTCCATACCAATCTTGGTGAGAGATACATCCACACCTTGCGAAGTAGTTACATGGACATACAACAACAGTCAACAGACAGTACTATTACATTTATATAGATATAAATACACTTTCATATAAAAATTACGAAATGTAGCACTTCACAAGTTAACAACGTGCTTTTACATATTCTTCAAATTTCTAGCTTCAGTATTTTCTTATTTATTTAGCTACATGTAAATGGATGGATACTGATAAAAGAAAAGCTACTTGTGTCTTCAATTTTATTCGCCAACATACGAATCTTGTTCAGTATTTTAATTTCTCGGAAAAGCTTTGGTAATTGCAGATTTTCGCGTCCATGTTAACATTGAAAATGGTTAACCCCGTTTTCTTTACCTAACGTTTGTCTGTTGACTATGATCTTTAAAACGACTCTGTTTTTCTCTTGTGAATCGGCCCGGCATGGTCAGGTGATTAAGACGCTTGACTCGCAATCTGAGGGCCGTGGGTTCGAATCCCCGTCCCACCAAAAATTCTCGACCTTTCAAGGCGTTATGATGTAACGATCAATCTCACTATTCGTTGGAAAAGAGTGGCCCAAGAGTTGGCGGTGGGTGGTGATGACTAGCTGCCTTCCCTCTAGTATTTCACTGCTGAATTAGGGACTGCTAATGCAGATAGTCCTTGCGTAGCTTTGCGCGAAATTCAAAACAAAACAAACCAATTCTCTTGTGAATCAGATGAGGCCTGGCATGGACTGATTGTTAGGGTACTGGACTCGCATAATCTATGTGTCGCAGGTTCGACTGTCCTCACCGAATAATGCTCACCAGTTCAGTCTTGGGGGCGTTATAATGTGACAATTAATCTTACTTTTGGTTGGTAAAGAGTAGCTCAAAAACTGGTGGTGAGTGGTGTTGACTAGTTGCCTTCCCTCGAGTCTATCACTTCAAAATTAAGGACGGCTAGTTCAACTAACCCTAGAATAGCTTTGTGCGAAACTCAACAGCAACAAAAAAACAAAACAAACTTAAATCAGATGGCTTAATTCACGCATGCGCAAATCGTATTACTATGGTAGTTGTATAGTTGTCAAAACAAAGTTGTTTTTTTGTTGAGTTGAATATTTTAGCTAAAGTTTCAAAGTTTTTCTCTTTTTTTTTCCATATTGTAAATTTCGACTGGGTTAAGACATCTCGAAAATCCCAGCTTCGAGTTCGAACCTGTGTTTTTCGAGTTTTGATACAATTCCTAAAAAATGTGAACTATAAAAATGTGTATAATTCAACATTTAACCTGAGAATTTGGTACTATCCACCCACGTGCTCGATCTTACAGGGCAAGTTGGATACAAAGTAATTTTTAATGAACTTTCATCAAATAGTCTGGTGCAGTACACTGACGTTTGCAACTTTTGTAAAATTATACTGAAGGGGAAAATTTAGATAACAATAAGAAACTTTTGCCTTTGGTGATAGATATTTTCGGTACAATTCAAATAAATAAATTATACGTAAATTTTAAAATTAAAGTGATTATGTGTAGGATTTCTACAGAAATTGAGTAAGTTATATTAAAACAGTCCATGTCACCACGCCCCGTCATACTGTTCTACCTGACAGCCGTACATCTTGACAATTGCCCTGCAGCGTAATTTCCGTTGCAGAAAACTCCGTCATTAAGCTCTCATATCAGAAGCGCAATACTACTCCCTGTATGCTTTTTATGTCAAAAGGGTACGAGGACGACGGTTCCTAGCATTCGTTTCAACACTTCGAACAGTATTTCTTTGTTTGGAATAGCATGAATACCAAACTTATTCCTCAACTTGTTGATGCCGCACTTTATTTACTGCGGTTGAGACACGACTTATTGGAGGTCTCTTTCTGGATGGTCCTGGTATCCCAAGCTACTCCACATCTCTTTGTTTACAATGCCATTAAGTATAAAATATAACCCCCTGTCTTGAAAACTCTAAATCCTCTATTTTAACACATCTTTATGATGTGAGTATATAAGTATGTGGCTTTGTAAAGAGTTGTTGCATACTCTTTACAAAGCGATCGGTTTACGGTGGCATCACATTACCTGCGAAATGCCAAACAATCTCAAAATGTAGTCCTGATACATTCCGTTCCACTGCAACTTTATATTGGCTTTGGTTGCCACGCAACTTGCTGATTTGCATATTTAAGTACATGATATAAGTACATGACCGTCTGTATAATGCGAAACTAAAATATTAAATATGTATAACTTGAAACTAGCAAAAGGAAAGATATCTATGACTGGAAATAAAATATTGTTAGGTAAGGAATTTTTAAACTTTTACAGGTATCATCAATTAATCGAGTTTTACGAAACCTGGCGGCTCAAAAAGAACAACAAGTGCATGCACAAGCACAAGATGCTGTTTATGATAAACTACGCATACTCAATGGACAGGGATGGCCTCGCCCGAACCCCTGGTATCCTGGTAGTGCAACATTTGGTGGAATAACCTCTGCTTGCGTCCCTCCTCCGGTCACTGCGCCAAGTCTCCCTACTGAAAATGGCCAAATCCAGAAAAAAGGTAAGAAATAATTGTATGTATGTCCTAAGACTATATAATTGTATATAATAGTAACTAAATTATTTTTCCCGTTGTACGAATATTTTGGGGAAAAATTAAAAGATTAATTTCTGGGTATTTTGTCCTAAATATCATGAAATAAATCAAAAGTAATAGTAAGTCAAAAGCATTAAACTTTACACAAACTGACTAAAGTGAGATCGTATATATTTGAAATTGTGTATTTAGCATTTATAACGTGAATGGGATCTCACGTGACATATAGGCTAAACGATCAGGTAAGATACTCCTAGGTTCAAATATGTCTAACCCTAGTTTTGAAATGATGACCTGATGGATAGCAACCAGTCAGCGGCAAAAGTCGCCTGCGCACCTACTTTTAACCGAATAATGCCCACAAGTGAAAGTGCGGAGCGTATTCAGCGGCTAATCGCGGGCTTACATTTTGGATATTTCGATTCGTGGTCTTGCACGCTATTACTGGGCCACGCCCAGCCCACTCGGGTTATGTAAACCATATAGTGCTAAGTAGTAGATAAATTATTTAGAATTTCCCGCCAGCCAGTTGTCTGTGAATTCCAAATCTTGAGTTAAAAGTTTCAACCACGTAATTGATTCACCTTTCGATTTTCGTCTGGAGTTCTATGTTCATTACAAATTGAAGAAAAACACATATACTGAGTATATAATTGAAAATATCGTGCATAAGATTTCAATAGAAGTTCCTACGAACTAGGTTGTGTAGTGAGCAAGTATTGTATAGATGTGTTTACGTTGTATAGATGTGCATGTGTTGTAAAGATGTGCATATGTTGTATAGATGTGAATGTGTTGTATAGATGTACATACGTTGTATAGATGTGCATATGTTGTATAGATGTGAATGTGTTGTATAGATGTGCATGTGTTGTATAGGTGTGCATACGTTCTATAGATGTGCATACGTTCTATAGATCTGCATGTGTTGTTTAGGTGTGCATACGTTCTATAGATGTGCATATGTTGTATAGGTGTGCACACGTTCTATAGATGTGCATACGTTCTATAGATCTGCATGTGTTGTATAGGTCTGCATACGTTGTATAGATCTGCATGTGTTGTATAGGTGTGCATATGTTCTATAGATCTGCATGTGTTGTATAGGTGTGCATACGTTCTATAGATGTGCATGTGTTGTATGGGTGTGCATGTGTTGTATAGGTGTACATACGTTCTATAGATGTATGACTAAAAGTGTTTTTCGACAGATTCATTCGTATTATTTTAGAAAACACGGCGTTTCAACAAAATAGGTCCAGCACACCTTATGCGTTTTTGTCGTTATTTCAACAACACCGACAAGACAAAAAGTAAAATGTCTCTAGAATAATCAGTGTTATCACTAACTCAAACAGACTTCACCTTCCGTTTTTATGTGGGGATCTATAACTCGAGTATCTTCAGCTTAAAAACTACAAGAAGTCAATTAATGCAGCGCTGTTTTAGAAGCATTACTTTGATCGTGATGCTCTGCGCTTTGCCTAAATAAACATTTTATATGTCATCTACTTAGGTGCTGGCAGCCTCTGTGATCTTATTGTTCTTACTATCTTCAGCATCCCGAAAGATAATATTTGCATAAATGCATCTACACACTTATGCATATGCATGTTGGGATAATACGTCGTCTGTGCATACAACAAATATGCGTTACACGTAGCGTGTTTTTTTTTATTCCATGATAATTGTGTAGTGATACTTTTGTTGCTGTGCTACGGTAATAGTTTGTTTACCTTGTTCTCAAGTTAATTCAGTCTCGTGTGATTAATTCATTGTTGATACTTTTTTTATTCCACTTGAATAGGCGTTAACTGATTCTATAGCTTGGTATCAAAAGATTCATCTCGTGTGCGAGGATGCAAACAGCCAGTAACATGTTATATAGCAGGGTTGTCTACAGTTGCAAATAAGTGTTAACTGATTATTTAATGACAAAGGGGTGATGCAGAAGTTTTCATATGGGGGGGGGGGTTGCTGCAAATGACCTTTAACTCATTTTCTAATGTTAATCTCTGCACTGTGCAATAGAACACGTGTCTTTGTGCACTAACAAGAAACAAACTAAATGTGAATAGACCATCACTGTCTTTACATGGTTTAAATATATGAAGTTAACATTCATTCAAAGTCTGAGGTGGAGGTTAGTTTTCGAATGAGAAACTTGGACTAATACTGTGTTGAATTAGTCGAAAGACACTGAAATGCTTATCCAAACCAGATAAGACAGCAATAATTTCATTTATGTGTTGTAATATATATTATAGTATATACCATAAAATGTAATCCAGAAACGCACAAAGACAAGACATGCCAAAAAGAATGTCCAAAAACACCTATTTAGTCATGAGTGGAGTATAACTGCGTACTACGTCGAAGTAGTGTTGAAAATAGTAGGTCTCTTCAATTGGTTATTTTTTTTTACATTTTTTTCAGACGTGTTTTGTTTTTGCACGTTTGTGGGTTATTTTAAGATATTTTCACTTCATTGTTTTATAGTTGCTTACAACTTTCGTTCACTTACACGTGTTGATATTAAGTTTTCATTTTATAATTACATATCTATCTTTAATACTATTATAATATATATATATGTATAAATAGTTAGAGATTCCTCACCAAATAGTTTTTAAGTTAAATTATTTTTTACAAGTAAACTAACAAATATATATATATATATATAAATCAAACGCAAGTTTTGAGGGTTAAGTGCAGGTTAATTATGCAAAATTTGGTTTTCTTATCTAAAATGCCCCCCCCCGTAGTACGAAAACGGGATTTCTGCGGATGTAAAAAACTGGAAACGGGGGTTTGTTACATGGGGGGGGGGGGTGAAAAGA